GGTTGCCGAGCCCGTGGGAGCTCTGGGAGCCCGGGGGGTGCCTGGGGGGTGCCCGGGGGGTGCTGGGACCCCCCCGTGTGTGAGGGAGGGGGGCCCCTGGCACGGCTGCTCCCGCGGGCAGTGCCCAGCGCGCCCGAGATCGACCTGGCGGAGTCGCTGGTGGCCGATAACTGCGTGAGCCTGGCATGGAGGATGCCCGAGGAGGGCGGCAAGATCGACCACTACGTGCTGGAGTATCGCAAGACCAACTTCGAGGGGCCCCCCCGTGCCAAGGAGGACCAGCCCTGGATGGTCATCGAGGGCATCAAGGGCACTGAGTACACCCTGTCCGGTGAGGGCATGGGGCTGTGCCAGGGGCTGGGGGGCAGGGCCAGGGGCTCTAGGGGACAGTGCCCACCCTGTGCCCCTCTCTGTGAGCCCACTGTGCCCACAGAGCTGCTTGACAAGAATTTTTGAGCACAGGGGCGGGGTGGCAGTGCCAGGCTGTGCAGGGGACACGGGGGTGGCAGTACCTGTCTCATACCCTACTCTGTGACCCCACTTTGCCCACAGTTGGACATGTACATGAATTTTCAGGCATTAGGGCTATACCAGGGGCTGGGTGGCAGTGCCAGGCTGTGCAGGGGACATGGGGGTGGCAGTGCCCACCCTGTGCCGCTCTCTGTGACCCTGCTGTGCCCACAACCAGGACAGATGCCAGGGTTGAGATTTGACATGAAGCAGATGAATTTTCAGGCACAGGGGCTGGGTGGCAGTGCCAGGCTCTGTAGGGGACAGCACCCACCCTCTGCCCTGCTCTGCAACCCCGCTGTGCCCACAGAGCTGTTTGACATGAAGCACATGAATTTTCGGGCACTGGGGCTGGGTGGCAGTGCCAGGCTGTGCAGGGGGCACAGGGGTGGCAGTGCCTGTCTCATACCTTACTCTGTGACCCCACTTTGCCCACAGGGCCAAGGTTTGACATGAAGCACATGAATTTTTGGGCACAGGGGCTGGGTGGCAGTGCAGGGTGCTCAGGGGACAGGAGGGTGGCAGTGCCCACACCATGCCCCTCTCTGTGAGCCCGCTGTGCCCGCAGGGCTGAGGTTTGACATGAAGCACATGAATTTTTGGGCACAGGGGCTGGGTGGCAGTGCCAGACTGCGCAGGGGACAGGAGGATGGCAGTGCCCACCCTGTGAGCCCGCTGTGCCCGCAGGGCTGAGGTTTGACATGAAGTACCCGAATTTTTGGGCACTGGGGCTGGGTGGCAGTGCCAGGCTGTGCAGGGGACATGGGAGTGGCAGTGCCCACCCTGTGCCCCTCTCTGTGAGCCCGCTGTGCCCGCAGGGCTGAGGTTTGACATGAAGTACATGAACTTTCGGGTGCGGGCGTGTAACAAGGCCGTGGCGGGCGAGTTCTCGGAGCCGGTCACGCTGGAGACCAAAGGTGGGTACCGGGCTGGGTGGGGTGGCTGGCAGGAGTCCCCCCGTGCCACCCCGGGCTCAGGGGGCACTCACAGCGGCTGTTGCCAGCGTTCACGTTCAAGCTGGATGCCAGCACGTGCCACCAGAACCTGCGGGTGGAGGAGCTGAGCGTGGAGTGGGACGCGACGGGCGGGAAGGTGCAGGACGTGAAGGCGCGCGAGAAGGACGGCAAGGGCAGGACGGCCTCGCCCGCCAACTCCCCTGCCAGGTAGTGCCACCCCCCAGCCTCCCCCGGGTCACCCTGGCGCTGTGTGTCCTCCCGGGCGGTGCCAACCCTGCCCCTCTGTCCGTGCCAGGGTGGTGCAGTCGCCCAAAAGGATGTCCCTGGGCCGCGGGGGCCGCGACCGCTTCACCGCCGAGTCCTACACGGTGCTGGGTGAGAGGGGGGGCACCTGGGGGGCACCTGGGGGGGCCC